GGGGTCCAGCACTGAACCCCCACCTCTCTGGGCATCCCCGCCAAGTGGGGGTGATGGGCTTGGGTCTCTGTGCCACTACCTACCTTTCTGGGGGTAGACTCAGAAGTGAGTGTCATCTCAGAATGAAAGTCAAGTGACTGATGAGAGGGAGCAGGGCCTCCCTGGAGGTTCTCAGAGCACCCAGGAAAGGCATTACCATTCTAGGGAAATAAAGACAGGAGGTGACCTATTTCTCTCACCCTTTGAATACCATTGCTGCAAACCATCTTCCTGGCACTCACCTATCCAACAACAGCCAGTTACACACTTACCTGTTTTGTGGCCTTCCTGCCTGTAACCACCTTGAAAGCTAAGTCCCTGGCTTCCCATGTTTCTGGAGTCCAGTACATAGTTGTGCTGAGAAAGAGCTAGGCTTCAAACTTAGAGGTTCTTTATGTAACATAATGACCCCACAGTTCCAGTTTGGAGTTTAAGGCCAATGGGCATCTCCTGGAAGCTAAGGCATCAGTGATTTTTGGAAGAATGTCAGCCTTTTAGAAAATGATGTAAAGTATTCTTTGAGTCTATTTGGGAACCTAAATGTCATGAAGGAACTGGTGGTCTATCCAGAATCAGCTTCAAATCATTACGATGGGGCTATGGGTTGAACTATGTCCTCCCAAAAAGATAGGTTGATGTCCTAACCCTTCATACCTCAGAATGTGACCTTGCTTGGACATAGGGTGCTTACAGAGGTTCCCACCTGTAAGAGGTGATCAAATTAAAATGGGCCCATTAGAAGGGGCCTCATCTGGAATGACTTGGTGTCCTTAGGAAAAGGGGAACTTTGGACACAGAGGTACTCACTGGGGGAAGACGATGTGAAGGCGGGGGACTAGAGTGCTACTTCTCCATTCCAAGGAGCACCAAAGATGGCTGGCAAACCACCGGAAGCCAGGAGAGGCTGGACAGAGTCACCCTCAGCGTCCTCGGAAGGAACCAAGCCCTCTGACACCTGGATCTTGGATGTCTGGTCTCCAGAATGTAAGACAACACATTTCTGTTTGTGGTCATGTGTCACAGCAACCCTAACAAATGAACACAGATGACAGACTCTCTTTGCCCAATCCTCAGGTGGCTGAGAGAGAAAGATGTGGTCCCAGCAGACAGGTGCCTGGGTTCCTCACTATTTGGGGCAATTGTTCCCACTGAGGATTACCAGGAGAACAAATCCCACAGAGCAGCCGTCAATATTCCAGGCCCTAAGCTGGGAACGTCCTATTTTCTCTCCCATTGAATCCTTCCAACATCCTCAAAAGGGAAGCCTCCCATTTTAAAGAACATAAAACTGAGATGGGATGCATTTAAGTAACTTGTCCAGGATTGCACAGCTGGGATCTGCATCTGGCAGGGGGGACCACCCGTGGCCGGAGTGTCCCACTGCACCATGCATCCTCCCCACACAAGGCCTCATGCGACGGCTCCCTGGTTCTGATAAGTGGCTACCAGAGGTTTGGGGCATGTGTTGATGCAACCTGATTGTTCCCTCCCCTGAATTTTAGACTGGGGCAGTCATGAGGCCACAGAGGGGCCTCATGTTTTTTTCCTTGGTTCTCTCATTGAAGAGAATAGGATTGCAGGAAGAAGGTCAAACTCCCCAAAAGGATAAGCTGTTTCAGAATCCTCAAGTCCTTTTAAAGCCTTTGTGCCAATTTCTACCTTTTACAAAGTACTTTCTCAAGCATGGGGACCCCATCCCCCAGCGCAGCCCCTCAGATGGGAATTATTGTCCACATTTTAAGGAGGGATGGGTCAGTTGCTTTGTGAACTGGTGTTAATTACAACTGCCTAATACATTGCTGACGTGGAAATTCTGCCGATTGAACTTATTTATAAGGAAAGATGCCTGTCATTTTTACTTAAAGAGGGTTTCCACTGGGGAGGATTTAGTTGTTGCTCTGGCACAGTCTTGGAGTAAAACATTTTCCATAAACGCTCTCTGACTCCACAACTTCCCTCAGTTGGTTTTCCTCTCTGGATGTTCCTGTCAGCAAAGAGAGTGACAAGATTTCTTGACTCCCTTACTGAGGCGGTGACTCAGTGACTCCAGCTGCTTCGTGGTTGGAACGTCTCAGCAGTTGCAGGAGGGGAGGCTCTGGGGGGCCCTTCCCCTCTGGCTCGAGGGAGGACAGGTCAGCCTTCAGGGTTGAGGGTCTGCCAGCACACACTCCCTCCCCTGGGGCTCAGCCCAGGCTGCCCCGGGAGGAGTCCACAGTGAGCCAGTGGCCTTGACCCTAGACTTGGAAATGCAGACAGTGCCAGGTTCCCAACAGATGCTACTTCTTCCACTTGCACTGCATTTTACTGAAAACCTGGACTCCAGAGCCACACTACCTGGGTTCAAATCCCAACTCAGGTAGGATTAATACTGAACACTCTGTGCTTCAGTTTCTTCCTTTGTACAGTGGGGATGAGAATGGTCGAGCCTGTCTTATGGGGCTATTGCGGGCACTAAATGATTAAACATTTCAAAGCACACAGAACAGGCCCTGGCACAAAGTGAGCCTTGTATTAAGGGACTGCTATGGGGATTTTTGTGGCTATTGCTGTTACTGTGAATTCATTCAACCAACATGGGTTGTATGTGTGCAGTGAGATGCTACTTCCTAGCAACCCAGGCATTAAACTTAACCACTCTGGGCCTTGCTTTTCTCTTCTGTGAAATGGGGATAACAGAACTGCACATGTCACAAGCTGGTGGTGAGGACAAGGGGCTGAGATGATAATTGACATTGGTGTGATGTGATTCCTACTGGCCATCGGGTCAGGCCCTCCATTGCCGCCCTGGGAGGATCTTAGAATCACCCTGGACAGACTCACTTCTGAGAATAGAAGGTCACCACTTAGGGTCTGGGTGGCCCCCATGTCCTCCCTGGATTTTCCTGCCCCACCCCCCAGCACCCCAGACCTAGATCTGTGACCCAGCCCTTCCTGGTGTGACCCTCACCACCCATCCTCTCCTGGCTTTGGAGGGATGTTTTTCAAATATTGGTCAGACTACTGGAACCTCCCAATAGCTTCACCACTGCACATAGATTGTAATTCAAACTCCTCACAGGGGCCCTCTGCTCACATTACCTTGGGCCCTGTTCATCCCTCCCCAGTCCCTCTGAGACCAGGAGTCTCCTTTGTCCCATTTATAAGGGCACATGAGAGTATGACTAAAAGTATAACAATGACTGCACATAAAGGGTGCTCAATAAATTCTTATAACCAAATAAACAGAAAGTCAAGTCCTGGCTTCAAGCATCCTTTAGAGAAGATGATGCATCTTTATTATTATATAATATACCAGGTTGAACTCTGTGGTGAAAATTCCACTACCTGGTTGCCACCCATGGGCATGGGAAGGCTTCGTCAACCCATCTCAGGAGGAGGAGAGGAGCAATGTCATGGCCTCCCCCCCGAGGATGGCTCGTGGATGGCTCTCCTCAATCTCCTTCCCACCCATGCCTGTCAAAAGCTGCTGGGTTTAGATGCTCAAGTTTCTGTTCCGTATTATGGATCATTTAATATTCAAGAGATGGCATTAAATAAATATGTGAGCAATTATGTAATGTGTTTGGAAACAATCTGGTTCATCCCAAAGTGTTTGGGCGAGAAACCAAACTTTAGTGAAGCAAGAGGTCTGGGTGGTATCTGAGGGCGGAGCAGGGAGGCACGTGGCCTGTCTGCTTGTTTGCTCCCTCCCTGAGTCGAGTGTGTGGTTACTCATCTTCTGGGACAGGCAGGCACAAAGGCAGTGGGAAGCCAGTGATGCTGGCTTGCACAGTTAGAAGCTCAGGGTTGCATGCTGGCTGCAAAGTTTCTTCTCTCTGGGTGTCAGCCTTCTCATTTGTGAGAAGGGCTAACAGTGCCTAGCGGGAAGGTCAGATGGGATGATGACTCTAAGCTCTGGATCAGAGGACAAGCTTGTGCAACATAAGTTGTGTCTGATGCTGAAAGATGAGCTGTGAGAGCTCTGATCTCTTACACGCCGGTTCCATGGGGCATGGACTCCAAGATCTGTACATCACCCTAACGTAAAGTTGGCCAAGCAAGGCAAATAACAGAGGCCCCAAGAAACAGCTTTAGGCGCACAGAGGAAGACATGGTTGATTCCAGCAAGGAGCCAGAGAAATCTCACAGAGCTGCCATATGTGCTGTCTCTGGAAGGTTGAGTGGTGTTTTGGCCCCAGAGAGAGGGCTGCCCTATTTAACTAACATGAATCAGGCACCTAGAAGGTCTACTCATTTGATAAGTATTTAATGTGTACCTACTATGTTCCAGCTACTCTGCTAAGCACTTTATATGAATCATCTGCAAAATACCATTTTACGGATGAGGGATCTGAGACTCAGAGGGGCTGTCCCAGTTGCAGAACTGGTATTTGAACCTGAAACTGAGTCCAGCTCCCAAGCTCTCACTACCAATAAACATACTACTGCCACCTAACTGGCCTGTGCTGTCGTCTCTGTCAGTTTTCAGTACATGTCCCAGCAAGCCCACCTGACCACCCCACCTCCAAAGCTTCATGTGCAGGCCAGGGCATGGCCCAGAGGGTAGAAGAATGAAGCAGGACCAGGTGAGGTGGCTGGCTTTTCATTCAGGCACCAGTCTATCCTCCCAGGGCAGAGGCAGTGTCACATCCACCTGGGCTCTTCAGTGCCAGTGCTGGGACAGACCCTGGATTGACGGCCACTCAACATGTGATGTCATGGGGCCTTCCTCCTCCACAGCCTACATCATGCCATAGGGCCTACCAATTCAAATGCCATAGGGCTTTCTGGAAATTTCCCCAAACCAGCCCAATGTTTCATAAACAATACACATGTCCCCAGTAGGATGGCAGAGAGAAGAGAGCTGCTTTCACACACTGTGTCCCTGCTCAGTTGACTCTCCATTGGCAAGCCCCACCCCCAACAGCCCTCTTCCCAGGCTGATACCCCCAAACCAAGCCCTGTCAAAAGCTGCTACTCACCCCTCCACGTCTTCTGGTTAAATGAGAGGTGTCAGGGTTTGGAAACTGGGGCCCATGTCTTGCTGGCTCTAGGGACTGTGTGACGAAGTTCAGCTCTGGAAAAGGGGAAAGATGGCATTAGTTAGGGGTGGGTGACCCGACAGGGATCCAGGTCAGAAAGGAGGAGGGAAGGGAACCGTGGTGTGGACTGTCCCCGATGTGCTGGCTCTAGGCTAGGGACAGGTTTGACAGGAACCTAGCCCTTGCTGTCTGCATTTAGACCAGCATTGGTGGGCTTTGCCCCTTCTGGGCCCAGAGTCCATCTCAGGGGTGCAAGTCCACTTGCTGGCAGGGGTCTCCCTGTCTATGACTGAGAAGGTTGAGTGGCTGGCCCCAGAGAGAGGGCTGCCCCATTTAACTAACACACATCAGACACCTAGCAGTTCTGTTCATTTGATAAGTATTTCATGAGTACCTACTATGTTCCAGCTACTCTGCTAAGCACTTTATATCAATTATCTTTGCTGGATCTTCATAAGATGCCACTGTTGTCCCCATTTTAAAGACGGTCTGTGTGGGCAGAGGGGGTGTGAAAGAGTGGTCACAGGTGTGTGCCCTGGAGAGACAAGGTGCTTTCTTGGGCAGGTGACTTAAACTTCCTTCCTGAGCCTCCTTTCCTCATCTGGAGGACAGAGATCTTAACACCTATTTCTCAGGATATTTATGAGGGGTAACTAAAACATAATATGCATAAGTGCCATGGCTCTTAGAAACACTCAATAAACAGCAGCAGAGATGGCTGTCAGTTTCCTTCTCTCTCTCTCTTAATTAATTCATTTATTTGTAACTTTTTATTTTAAGTAGTTATGAATCCAAAAGAAATTGCAAAGAAATGTACAGAGAGATCCCATGCACCTCCCTCCAGACTCCCCCAAGGTTAACTTGCACAACAGCAGCACGACATAAAAACCAGGCATGTGGTATCATATAATTGACAGAGCTTACAAGCAGTTTGATGTCTGTGTGTGTGTGTGTGTGTGTGTGTGTGTGTGTGTGTGTGTGTAGCTCTAGGAAATGTTACCTGTAGTTTTGTGTGACCACTACCACTATGATCAAGATATAGAACTGTTTCATCCCCACAAGACCTCCTTGTTATAGTCATGCCCCTCTTCCCTAACTCCTGGCAACCTCTAGCCTGTTTTCCATCTCTCTAACATTGTTCTTTCACTGACGTTATATAAATGGAGTGATGCAGTATATAACCTCTTGGGACTGGCTTTTTTCACTGAGCAGAATTCCCTGAAGATTCCTCTAGGTGGTTGTGTATAACAGGAGTTTGCTTCTTTTTATTGTTGGGTAGTATTCCATACATGGATGCACTACAGGTTGTTTAATTATTAACCAGCACAAGGACATCTGTGTTACTCCTAGTTTTGGGGTATTATAAACATTTATGTAAGGTTTTTGTTGTATGAACAAATGTTTTCGTTTGTTTGGAATAAATGCCCAAGTGTAATTGTTGAGTTGTATGGCAGTTTGCACTTTTTTTTAAAGAAACTGTCAAACTGTTTTTCAGTTTGGTAAATGAATTTTATTTACATTCCCACCATCATGTACAAGTGGATCCAGTTTCTCTGCATCTTCATCAACATTTGGTGTTGTCACTATCTTCTATTTTAGCCATTCTGATAGGTGTGTAATAATACCTAATTGCGGTTTTATTTTGCATTTCCCTAATGACTAATGATGTTGCACATCTTTTCACATGCTTATTTGCCACCTGTATATACTGTGTTGGATGTCTTTTGTCCGTTTTTAAATTGGATTTAAAAAATTGCTACGTTTCGAGACTATTTTGTATATGTTAGATATCAGTACCTCAAAGGTTTTGTGGTTTGCAAATATTTTCTTCTAGTCTATAACTTATCTTTTTGTCCTTGTCCCAGGATGTTTTTTGTCTTTTTACCCTTGTCATATGATATTTTTTGCCTGTTTTATGGATTTTCTCTTCTTTCCTCTTGTTCTTCTTCTCCCTCTTGTTCTCTTTTTACCTCTCCTTCCTCCTCCTTCTCCTTCTTCTTTTTTCTTCTTCTTTTTGAGAAAGGGTCTCACTCTGTCATCCAAGCTGGAGTGCAGTGGAATGATCATAGCTAACGGCAGCCTTGAACTCCCAGGCTCAGGCAAGCCTCCTGGCTCAGCCTCCTGAATAGCTTAGACTACAGGTGTGCACCATTATGCCCAGCTAATTTTTTTATTTTTATTTTTAGTAGTGACAAGGTCTCATTATGTTGCCCAGGCTGGTCTTGAATTACTGGGCTGAAGTAATCCTCCCACTTTGGCTTCCCAAAGTGTTGGAATTACAGGCATGAGCCACCACACCCAGCCTCTCATTTTTTGTGTACAAGTTTTATAGTTTTACATTTTACATTGAAGTCCATGGTCCATTGTGAGTTAATTTTTATATGTGGTAGGAGACTTAGGTTGAAGTTATTATTATTATTTTCATTATTTGTGCCTATTTTGCCAATTATTCTAGCACCATTTATTGAAAAGGTTATCATCTTCACTCCATTGAATTGCTTTTGTGTCTTAGTTAAAACCAGGTTGGGTGTATTTTTGTGGGTTTATTTCTGGGCCATGTATTGAGTCCATTGTTCTATGTGTCTCATCTCTGTCAATACTGCAGTCATGATTTCTATATAATAAATCTTGAAATCAGATACACAAATTCTTCATTCTTTTCCTTTTCTTTCTTTCTTTCTTTTTTTTTTTTTTTTTTTTTGAGATGGAGTTTCGCTCTTGTTACCCAGGCTGGAGTGCAATGTCGTGATCTCAGCTCACCGCAACCTCCGCCTCCTGGGTTCAGGCAATTCTCCTGACTCAGCCTCCTGAGTAGCTGGGATTACAGGCACGCACCACCATGCCCAGCTAATTTTTGTATTTTTAGTAGAGACAGGGTTTCACCATGTTGACCAGGATGGTCTCCATCTCTTGACCTCGTGATCCACCTGCTTCAGCCTCCTGAAGTGCTGGGATTACAGGCTTGAGCCACCGAGTTTTCTTTCTTTTTTTAACCACAATTACTTTTGCATTTTCATGCTTTTTCAAAATTCTTTGCTTTTCCTTGTAAATTTTAGAATCTTTTCTACATCTGTACCAATTTTTCTGGGATTTTGATAGAAATTGCAGAGAACAGACATCTTTGCTATGTTACATCTTCCAATCCATGCAAGTCTCTTCATTTATTTAGGCTTTTAAAACTTCTTTCATCTGTGTTTAATAATTTTCAGCATAGAAAGCCTATAGATATTTTGTTAAAATTTATACCTATTTCATTTTTTTGAGTGGTTGTAAATGGCATTGAATTTAAAATTTTGGTGTCCACATATTCATTGCTAGTGTATAGAAACACATTTTTTTGTATGCTTAGCTTGTATCCTATAACTTTCCTGAACTCGCTTATTACTTCTAGGAGGTTTGTGTTTTTAGATTCCTTGGGATTTTTATGTAGACAATCAAGTCATCTGCAAACAGGGAGGGTTTTATTTCTTCCTTTGAATTTGTATGTCTTCTTGTCTTATTGCACTGGCTATAACTTTCAGCACTATGTTGAATATAATGATGAGAGCTGGCATCCTTGCCTTGTTCCCAATCTCAGGGGAAAGTATTCAGTAAGTGTAAGTATAACATAGTTTTTAAAAATGCTCTTTATCAAGGTGAGGATGTTTCTCTCTATTCCTATTTTTTCTGTGTTTTATCATGAATGGGTGTTGAATTTGCTTTTCCTACATTGGTGGATACCATCATGTGATTTTTTTTAAGCCCATAAATATGGTGGATTATATAAATTGATATTTAAATGTTAAGCCAACCACACATCCCTGGAATAAACCCCACTTGGTCATGATGCATAATTCTTTTTACACATTGTTTAATCACGTTGGTTAATGTTTTGTTAAAGACTTTCACATGTACATACACGATGGATGTTAGTCTGTAGTTTGTACTGTCTTTTTCTGGTTTTGACATTACAATAATAGTAGCTTCATAAAATATATTGGAAGTGTTTCTTCCTCTTCTTTTTACTGGAAGACACTGTATAGAATTGGTGTTAATTTTTTAAACTTGGTAAAATTCTGCACTGAAACTATCTTGTCCTGGGGATTTCTTATTAGGAAATTAAAAAATTACAAATTCAATTTCCTTAGTAATTATAGGAATATTAAAATTATCTGTTTCATATTGGGTGAATTGTAGTAGTTTGTGTTTTTTGAGGAACTGGTCTATTTCTATCAGGTTGTTAAATTTATACTTGCAGAGTTGTTCACCGTTTCCGTACTGTATGATGTCTGTGAGGTCTATAGGGTTATTCTCTGTTTCATTCTCAATTTTGGTCATGTGTGTCTTCTCTTACTGTCTTGTTCTCTTGTTCTCTCCTTTTGGTTAGTCTCCCTAGAATTTGTCGATGTTATTGATTTTTTCAAAGCCATCTCTGTTTCATTGGTTTTCTCAATCATTTTTCTGTTTTCAACTTTATTTGATTTCTACTCTTAACTTTATTATTTCCTTTCTTCTGTTTGGTTTGGGTTTATTTTGCTCTTCCTTTTCTTGATTCTCAAAGTAGAAGCTTAAATTGTTGATTTCAGAATATTTTATTTGCTCGTTATACATAATGCTGTAGGTTTCCCTCTCAGCAATGCTTTAGCTGGTTCTACAGATCTTGATAGGTTGTATTTAAATTGTCATTCAATCTAATATATTTTCAAAATTTACATTTAGACTTTCTCTGTGGCCATGGATTAATTAGATATGCATTGTTTTGTTTCTAAGTGATTGGATATTTTCCTAACATCTTTCTGTTACTGACTTCTAGTTTCATTCCACCAATCAGAAAAAATACTCTCCATGATTTCAATTCTTCTAATTTTGCTGATGTTTGTTTTATGATCCAGGATATGGTCTTTCATAGCCTATGTTTTGTGGACACTTGAAAACAGTGTGTATTTCTGCTGCTGTTATGGGGAGGATTCTATAAATGTTGGTTAGATTTTGTTGGTTCATGGTGTTGTTAAGTTCTTCCATATTCCTGCTGATATTCCTCCTGGTTGCTGTATCA